TTCTTAGATTGTGGCTCACTGACCCTTTTTGGGGTGAATAAGGGTGGAAAACTACACAATCGACCATACAAGGTTTGAGTGTATAGCCAAGTAGCACTCGGCAAATATTACATGCCACCATATAAAGGGAGATCCTTCAAAGTTTGACACTGATAGCAAATCAACACCAACCCTGATAGTAACACCAATCCCTTAGGACGGTCTCCAAGAAATATGCTTTTTAATATTATCCACTCAACAACCAATATAAATACCATCCAAATCCGACCTGCTGAATAACAATCATCCACAACTTGTTTAATCAAACCAGTAAAATGAAACTACCAACTGCTGTACTATCATCAATCCTGCTTATTTGTTCAGTTACTATTGCCAAACCAATTCTCCCTACTGAAACTACAGATACTGTATATAACCCATCTGCAACTCCTAATCCAAACAGCATAGACTTGGGTAGTCTTGATTCACTTTCAGCTGACATGAAGAATTTGCTCAAAGAATACTCAAAAGTACATAATGACTATAATAGGAAAAAAAAGGAATGCGAATTGATAGATCTTGAACATAGTAATCTACGGAGTACAAAGAGTCATCTGGAAAAAAAGATTTCTAATTTGAAACGTAAAATGCTAACAAACAAGTTTAAACTAAAATCCAACAACGGCAACGATCGAATGAAGGAGCTTGAGCAGAAACTTGAAAAAGAAGAGTCTGATTTTGCCTTTCTTCAAAGAAAAAAGAACAGGTGCAAATTCGAGCTTAGTCGTTTCGATTATGATTTGGAACTTATCATAATAAGTCTTGTGGAGTTCGTTTTCAAAGAACCTTTTACTGCTCAAACACTCGATGGCCAACTTTTGCGTATCCTTTCACATCCTATCGTTAAACAATACCTCGGCGAATTATGTGAACAATCATCAGCATGCAGTGGTGGCTCTGGTCAAAGTTCTAACTTTGAACAGCAACGTCAAGATCCACAACCGTCACCGCAAACACAGTCTGGATTTCGCTCCTTTGGACAGAGACTCTCCTCTGGTATACGTAGTGGTTTCTCCAAATTTGGTGATAGGTTTAAATCGCTCATCGATCAATTCAGAAGTGAAAATTAATCCGAATGTTAATATGGACTGGTTCAACTGTTTCAACTTGCAATAAACTTTGATTGTCATTTGACATTAAATATACATACACCATGGCATGTGTGACATGTGTGATTGACTATAACTGGTGTGGATTACAATCGATTGTGCACGATAGTTTGATATCGATTGCAGTTGTTGATCGATACTCGGACTACCCGAGTTTGTATTCCTGGTTGTATTCATGACTGGATGTTTGATTGGATACTTGACATGACTGGTCATATATGGTTTGCACAACAGTCTGGATTGTACAATGATTACTGTCCAGATGTACATGTCAAGTGCGTGTATAATCAGGTTGACGATATTGACCAGTTGACACATGCTGATCAATGCAACTGGTGTGTATTGTATGTATTGTGTGTATATACATGTATGGCTTGATCACTCGGATGTACATACTCGACATATATACCGACACGACAATCAGATCGACAACCACCATCACAATCAGGTTGTATGTGGATCATGTTGTAATGTCGAGTGACTGGATCCAATTGCAGTGTATATACGAGTCATACAACGAGTTATTGAACAAGTTGCTCAACGAGTCATACAAAGTTCGTGTTTGTGTTCGAGTGATGCAATACAATACAATGTGTACATCAATCCAGAATACGAGTCAACCATGACATATGATCATGATGTGTAGTCAATACAACTATATAGTGACAATCGATGTTGATATAGTAACACACAACATGCAATGCCAACACAACAGTTGCAAGTCATTGATCATCAATGTAACATTGTGGTTACAACATGAACTGGATTGTATTGATTCAATTGATTGATTGAATCACTCGATCAATACTAATTATGATTGATCGTGTCGAGTTGAGTGGAAAGTACTACTAAACCATGACATGTTTGAATCATGTCAATCAACTGTGATTGCAAATCATGCAATATCACAACACATTGATGACCAACTAATAACTGAATGTCAGCTCAGTTGCATAAAGTCTTGGTTTATACTGATTTTTTAGATTGTGGCTCACTGACCCTTTTGGGGGTGAATAAGGGTGGAAAACTACACAATCGACCATACAACGTTTGGATGCATAACTAAGCAGCGGTTTAGCAAAAATTACTGATCGTCATATAAAGGGATATCCCTTTCGAATCGCTTTGAAATTGATAGTAAATTGACACCAACCCTGACAATAAACCTGATTATTTGGAACGGCCATCCAAGAAATATGCTTTTAATATTATCCACTCAGCTGATATAAATACGATTAACCCAACCTGTTGAACGACAATCGTCTGCAACTTTTTTAATCAAACCAGTAAAATGAAACTATCAGTTGCTGTACTATCATCAATCCTGCTTGTTTGTTCAGTCACTACAGCCAATCCAGTTGTTCCCAGTACGACTGCAAGTACAGACCATGTCTCTTCGACAGTTGTTCCCAGTTCAACTACAAGTACCGAGTCTAACCCCTCTACAACTCCCAATACAGACGATGTAAACTTGGGTAGTCTTGATTCACTTTCAGTTGACATCGAAGATTTGCTTGAAAACTATTCAGAAAGAAAGCATGACCATGATAGGCATACAAAAGAATGCGAATTGATAAAGCTTCAATTTGAGGATCAACAAAAACTAGTAAAACATCTGAGAGAAAGGTTTGACGCTTTGAAACTTGAACTTCAAGGAAACGGTCACAGCGATTCAGAATATAGTGATGATGATGAAATGGAAAGGGTTGGGCATGAGCTTGAAGACGGATATTCCAAACTTATCAAACTTGAAAGAAAGGATAAAAAATGCAGTTTCAAGAATAGTTATTTTACTCGACAATTGAAACTCGTTCAAATAGATCTTGTGAAATCCGTTTTTGGAACATCTTTCAATATTGAATTATTTGATAAGCAACTTTTGCTTATCCTCTCACATTCTTCCGTTAAACAATACCTTGAGGGACTATGTAGTGGTGAACAATCATCAGCATGCACAAAGGGTTTTGGTCAAAGTTTTCCTGCTGAACGACGTCAAAATCCTAATGATGACAGTTTTGAAGAGATTGATCTTGGCGATTCTAGTGATGGAAAACGTCAACGTCAAGCTCCACGACCGCAAACACAATCTGGATTTCGCTCCTTTGGACAGAGACTTTCTTCCTTTAAACATAGAGTTTCCTCTGGTATACGTAAAGCTTTCTCCAGATTTGGTGATAGGTTTAGATCTCTTGTTGAACGATTCAGATGTGGTAATCGATCCGAATGTTAATCTGGACTGGTTTCAACTGTTTCAACTGTCATTTTGATTCAACTTGCAATAAACTTTGATTGTCATTCGACATTAAATATACATACACCATGACATGTGTGACATGTGTGATTGACTATAACTGGTATAGATTACAATCGATTGTGCACGATAGTTTGATATCGATTGCAGTTGTTGATCGATACTCGAACTACCCGAGTTTGTATTCCTGGCTGTATTCATGACTGGATATTTGATTGGATACTTGACATGACTGGTCATATATGGTTTGCACAACAGTCTGGATTGTACAATGATCACTGTCCAGATATACATGTCAAGTGCGTGTATAACCAGGTTGACAATATTGACCAGTTGACACATGCTGATCAACGCAACTGGTGTGTATTGTATGCATATACATGTATGGCTTGATCACTTGGATGTACATACTCGACATATATACTGACACGACAATCAGATCGACAGCCACCATCACAATCAGGTTGTATGTGGACAGTGTTGTAATGTCGAGTGACTGGATCCAATTGCAGTGTATATACGAGTCATACAACGAGTTATTGAACAAGTTGCTCAACGAGTCATACAAAGTTTGTGTTTGTGTTCGAGTGATGCAATACAATACAATGTGTACATCAATCCAGAATACGAGTCAACCATGACATATGATCATGATGTGTAGTCAATACAGCTATATAGTGACAATCGATGTTGATATAGTAACACAACATGCAATGCCAACACAACAGTTGCAAGTCACTGATCATCAATGTGACATTGTGGTTGCAATATGAACTGGATTGTATTGATTCAATTGATTGATTGAATCCATTGATGAACAACTAATAACTGAATATCAGCTCAGTCCCACATAGATTTGGAGGTTTACATGGACTGTGCTTATTTGATTATGATTTAACACACTAATCAGGGTTAGGGTGAATAAGGGCGGGAAACTACATAATTGATCAATCAATCGTACGATGTTTAGATGTATAGCCGAGCAGCGGTTCAGTAAAAATTGCGGATCGTCATATAAAGGGATATCCCTTCAAAGTTTGACATTGATAACAAATCGACAACCCTGATAGTAACACCAATCCCTTAGGACGGTCATTCACTCAGCTGATATAAATACAATTTAGACCCAACCTGTTGAATGACAATCATCTGCAACTCGATCAAACCAGTAAAATGAAACTACCAATCGCCGTACTATCATCAATCCTGCTTGTTTGCTCAGTCACTATTGCCAAACCAATTCATCCCAGTACGACTACAGATACTGTATATAACCCCTCGTCAGCTTCTAATACAAACGGTGCAAGCTTGCGCAGTCTTGTTTTACCTCCAGTTGACATGAAGAGTTTGCTCAAAGAATACTCAAAAGTACATAATGACTATAATAGGAAAAAAAAGGAATGCGAATTGATAGATCTTGAACATAGTAATCTACGGAGTATCAAGAATCATCTGGAAAAAAAGATTTCTAATTTGGAGCGTAAAACTTTAACAAACAAGCTTAAACTAAAATCCAACAACGGCAACGATCGAATGAAGGAGCTTGAGCAGAAACTTGAAAAAGAAGAGTCTGATTTTGGTTTTCTTCAAAGAAAAAAGAACAGGTGCAAATTCGAGCTTAGTCGTTTCGATTATGATTTGGAACTTATCAAAATAAGTCTTGTGGAGTTCGTTTCTGAAGAACCCTTCAATGTTCAAACATTCGATGGCCAACTTTTGCGTATCCTTTCACATCCTGTCGTTAAACAATACCTCGGCGAATTATGTGAACAATCATCAGCATGCAGTGGTGGCTCTGGTCAAAGCTCTAACTTTGAACAGCAACGTCAAGATCCACAACCGTCACCGCAAACACAGTCTGGATTTCACTCCTTTGGACAGAGACTTTCTTCCTTTAAACATAGAGTTTCCTCTGGTATACGTAAAGCTTTCTCCAGATTTGGTGATAGGTTTAGATCGCTAATCGACCAATTCAGATGTGGTAATCGATCCGAATGTTAATCTGATCTGGTTTCAACTGTTTCAACTGTCATTTTGATTCAACTTGCAATAAACTTTGATTGTCATTCGACATTAAATATACATACACCATGACATGTGTGACATGTGTGATTGACTACAACTGGTGTGGATTACAATCAATTGTGCATGGTAGTTTGATATCGATCGCAGTTGTTGATCGATACTCGAACTACCCGAGTTTGTATTTCTGGCTGTATTCATGACTGGATATTTGATTGGATATTTGACATGACTGGTCATATATGGTTTGCACAACAGCCTGGATTGTACAATGATCACTGTCCAGATATACATGTCAAGTGCGTGTATAACCAGGTTGACAATATTGACCAGTTGACACATGCTGATCAACGCAACTGGTGTGTATTGTATGCATATACATGTATGGCTTGATCACTCGGATATACATACTCGACATATATACTGACACGACAATCAGATCGACAGCCACCATCACAATCAGGTTGTATGTGGACAGTGTTGTAATGTCGAGTGACTGGATCCAATTGCAGTGTATATACGAGTCATACAACGAGTTATTGAACAAAGTTGATCAACGAGTCATACAAAGTTCGTGTTCGTGTTCGAGTGATGCAATACAATACAATGTGTACATCAATCCAGAATACTAGTCAACCATGACATATGATCATGATGTGTGATTGATACAGCTATATAGTGACAATCGATATTGATATAGTAACACACAACATGCAATGCCAACACAGCAGTTGCAAGTCACTGATCATCAATGTGACATTGTGGTTGTAACATGAACTGGATTGTATTGATTCAATTGATTGATTGAATCCATTGATGAACAGCTAATAACTGAATATCAGCTCAGTCCCACATAGGTTTACAGATTTGCATGGACTGTGCTTATTTGATTATGATTTGACACTAATCAGGGTTAGGGTGAATAAGGGTGAGGAACTACATAATTGATCAATCAATCGTACGATGTTTAGATGTATAGCCGAACAGTGGCTCAGTAAAAATTATAGATTGTCATAAAGGGAGATCCCTTTTGAGTCGCCTTGAAATTGATAGCAAATCAACACCAACCCTGACAATAAAGCTAATCCCTTAGGAAGGTCTCCAAGAAATATGCTTTTAATATTATCCACTCAACAACCGACATAAATACGATCCAAATCCGACCTGTTGAATGATAATCATCCGCAACTCGATCAAACCAGTAAAATGAAACTACCGATCGCCGTACTGTCATCGATCCTACTTGTTTGCTCAGTTACTATTGCCAATCCAGTTTTTTCTACTGTAGCTACAACTCCAAAATATGGTCCTTCGTCAAATCCTAATACAAGCGGTATAAACTTGAGTAGTCGTGTTCCACTTTCAGCTAAAACTAAGAATTTTCTCAGAGAATACTCAAAAAGTAAACATGACCATGATAGGCATACAAAAGAATGCGAGTTGATAGACCTTCAACTTGAGGATCAACAGAACCTGGTGAAACGCTTGGGGGAAAGGTTTGGCAATTTGAGACTTGAATTCCACAAAAATAGTCGCGACCGTTCAAAGTATATGGATATGATGAAAAAACTTGAGCGTGAGATTGCAGAAGGATACTCTAAACTTGCTGATCTTCAAAGAAAAAAGAACAAGTGTGTATTCGAGCAGACTCATGTTAATCAACAGCTGGATTTCGCCAAAATAAATCTCATTAAGCTAGTTTCCAGAAAAACTCTCGATCTTGAATCACTCGATTCCCAGCTTTTACCTATCCTTTCACATCCTCCCGTCAAACAATACCTTGAAGGACTATGTGGTGGTGAACAGTCATCAACATGCAGTGATGAACAACAAAAACAAAGGTTTACTCTCGAAGAACTTAATTTTGAAGATTTTGAAGATATTGATCTTAACGATCCTAGTGATGAAAAACAACGTCAAAATCCACAACCACAGTCTGGATTTAGCTCCTTTGGACAAAGATTTACCTCTCTTGGAGAAAGAGCTTACTCTGGTGTGCGTAATGTTGTCTCCAGACTTGGTGATGGGCTTAGATCGCTTGTCGAACGACTCAGATGTGGTAATCGATCCGAATGTTAATCTGGACTGGTTTCAACCGCTTCAACTGTCATTCTGATTCAACTTGCAATAAACTTGGATTTTCATTTAAACTTGCATGTATTGTATCTGATTATTCTACAGTATTGCTCATCATCATATTGTGTTTTGACACTTGCATTTTTAATACAATACATTTATTCTATACTACATATTTGTACACATTGATGGTTCTGACATACATGTGTACTGTGTCAATA